CGCACGCAAAGCGGGGAGAAGTGCTGCTGCTGCTGCTGCTGCTGCAGCAGCTGCTGCTGCTGCTGATGATGGTGGTGGTGCGGGTGGTGGTGTAGGTTAGGCAATGCAGCAGCAGCAGCAGCTGTTCGAGTTAGCAGCAGCAGCAGCAGCAGCTGTTCGAGTTAGCAGCAGCAGCAGCAGCAGCAGCAGTGCACGAGCGCCGAAGCAGCAGTAGCAGCAACGGCAAAAACGACAGATGCAAGGGCGACAGCAGCAGCAGCAGCAGATGCAGCAGCAGCAGCAGATCTAGCTTGCTTCTTTGAAGAGCACCGAGATTGAAGAGGGTTTAGGGTTTAGGGTTTAGGGTTTAGGGTTTAGGCTCGCCTTCACACATATGCCTTTTTTGTGGGGGGCGCCCTCGAGCCATTTGCTGCAGACACACAACACCCCCTGCACTCGCTTCTGCTGCTGCTGCTGCTGCTGCTGCTGCTGCTGCTGTTGCTGCTGCTGCTGCTGCTGCTGCTGCTTACCTTCTTATATTTGGGGGTTTGAGGCGAGGGACCTGCAGAGGCCTTCGTTTGTAGAAGAGGCGGCCGCTGATGCTGCGGGTGCTGAACAGCCGCTTGCTGCCGCCTGCTGCTGCTGCTGCTGCTGCTGCTGCTGTTGCTGCTGCTGCAGTTGCTGCTGCTGCTGCTGTGGTTCGGGCCAGCACCGTTCTCGTTGCTGCTGGGCCCACCCCTGCTGCTGCTGCTGCTGCCAGTGCTGCTGCTGGAGGGCAAAGGAGCGCACCACTGGTCCGCCCGCTGCTGCTGCTGCTGCTGCTGCTGCTGCTGCTGCTGCTGTTGCTGTTGCTGCTGCTGCTGCCAAAGGCGCAGGGAGAGCCCTCAAGCCTCAGGGGGCCCATTCTCGGCAGGGGGCCCCCGGGGGCCCCACTAAGGGGGGCCCCTGGGGGGCCCCCGGGGGGCCCCCCAGGGTACTGGAAAAGTGGTTTGCTGCTGAAGCAAAAGGAAGAGTGGGGGGCCCCCAGTTGCTGCCTCAAGTGAATGAAGAAGCAGCGCCAAAGGGGGGGGCGTGGTGCCATGCTGCTGCTGCTGCAGCTGCTGCTGCTGCTGCTGCTGCTGCTGCTGCTGCTGCTGCTGCTGTTGGTTGTGATGGCGGTGGGACTAGCCGCTGCGCGGCACTGTGGACGCGTGAGCGCAGCAGCAGCAGCAGCCGCTGCTGCTGCTGCTGCTGCTGTTCGTGCTGCTCCTTCTCTTGCTGGTGCTGCAGTTGCTGCAATTGCTGCAGTTGCTGCTGCTGCTGCTGCTCAGACCTGGCCCAAAGAAATGATCTCAAAAAATGCCAAACAAAATAAAACTGAAAGTTTACTTTCGAGCAGCAGCAGCAGCAGCAGCAGCAGCAGCAGCAGCAGCCGTGTCGGCTGTACCCAAAGGGCCCCCGGGGGGCCCCACTGCGGGGCCCCAGAGGGGCCCCAGGCACTCTGTTGCTGCTGCTGAGCAGCAATATCTCTAAACCCTAAACCCTAAACCCTAAACCCTAAACCCTAAACCCTGGAGAATAGCTGTCGTCGGCTTGGTCGCGCTAACTTGCTCGTGCGTGGAGGGGAGGCTGCAGTGGGCTACCAAACCCTAAAGCCTAAACCCCAAACCCTAAACCCCAAACCCTAAACCCTAAACCCTAAACCCTTAGCTCTAAGCCCTTAACTGCTCGCTGGAAAGGCTGCAGACTGCGGCCGTGAGCCCTCAGCCCTAAACCCTAAACCCTAAACCCTAAACCCTAAACCCTAAACCCTAGACTACGGGGCTCTGGTACCAGCTACTCTGCGACAGGGACTCAGGCCGAGGGTTTGGGGTTTAGGGCCTAGGGTTTGTGTTTTAGGGTTTAGGGTTTAGGGTCTAGGGTTTAGGGAAACACCCAATTAGGCTCCCCCTCTCTCTCTCATTTATCTCTTTTTGCCACTTTTCTTTTCCCAATTTATTTATTTATTTATTTATTTTATTAATTTATTAGTTAATTAATTTATTTATTTATTTATTATTTAATTAATTAATTTATTTTTGCTGCTGCTTTGCTGAGTGTTGCTGCTGCAGCGATGGTCTACCTGAGCGCGGCCCTGTGCGTGCAGCTGCTGCTGCTGCTGCTGCTGCTGCTGCTGCTGCTGCGGCAGTACCCTTTCTGGCGGGTCTGGGGGCCCCTCGGGGGGCCCCCCGGAGGCCCCCAACTGGGGGGCCCCCTCACTCTTGGGGGCCCCCAAATGGCCAAAGTTTTAAATGCCATTAGAGATAAAATGAATAAAGAAGATAAAGGAGAATGCAAAATGGTTCTTTGCATTCGAAATGGTAAACCCTAAACCCTAAACCCTAAACCCTAAACCCTAGCTGGGCGGGCTCCACTGCAGCACGAGTATAGCAGGATGAATACAACTGTAGGTTGGATTAAATTAAATTTGAATTAATTAAATCAGTTTAAATTAATTTAATTAATTTAATTAAATTTAATTAATTTAATTAATCAAATTTAATTCAATTTAATTCAAAGTCCTTATCAAGATTTGCTGCTAATGGCTTTCACTAGCAAATCCAAACAGCAGCTGCAGTAGCTTTGAGGCCCTTTGCCTACGCGTCTCACCAGCTAGCTAGCTAGCTAGCTAGCTAGCTAGCTCGCTGGCTGGATAGCTAGCTAGCTAGCTAGCTAGCCGGCCATTCTTCCCGCCAGCTGGCTAGCCAGCTAGCTAGCTAGCTAGCTAGCTAGCTAGCCAGCTAGCTAGCCATCTGGCTACGCAGCTAGCCAGCTAGCTGGCCAACTACCCAGCTAGCTAGCCAGCTAGCTGGCCAACTACCCAGCTAGCTACCTAGCTAGCTAGCCAGCCAGCTAGCCAACCCCCCAGCTCGCTAGCCAGCTAGGCAGGCAACTACCCAGCTAGCTAGCCAGCCACCCAGCTAGCCAGCCACCCAGCTAGCCAGCCACCCAGCTAGCCAGCTAGCCAACTAGCTGGCTAGCCAGCCAGCAGCTAGCCAGCTAGCCAACTAGCTAGCTAGCCAGCTAGCCAGCTGTTTGCGCATTTCTCAGACCTGGGAATGGGCAAAGGCAAAATGGCAGCTCAGTGTTCCCACGCAGCTCTGGGGGCCTACAGAAAAGCCCGCAGAGCTGCTGAGGCCCTTTTAGCAGCAGAACTTAGTAGGGGGCCCCCTGGGGGCCCCCAGGGGGGCCCCCAGGGGGGCCCCCAGGGGGCCCCCAAGCTGGGGGGCCCCAAGCTGGAGGCCCTGGGGGCCCTCGCTGTCTGGCTGGACTCTTGGGAGCAGCAGGGAGAGGCCAAGGTGGTCCTCAAGCTGCCAGTGAGCCCTTAGACCTGCTGCTGCTGCTGCTGCTGTTTCTGCTGCTGTTGCTGCTGCTTCTGCTGCTGCTGCTGCTGCTGCTGCTTCGTAGTGGCAAAAGTACTTTCTGTCGGGGGCTTTGGGGAAGTGCGGAGGGCTTTGGAATTCTTAGGAATTGCTGCTGCTGCTGCTCGGCGCTGTGTAGAGCTTCGGGGCTCCTCATAGAAAACTGCTGCTGCTGCTGCTGCTGCTGCTGCTGCTGCTGCTGCTGCTGCTGCTCAGGATGAAGAGACGGGCCTTCAGATTGTGAAGGAGGCAATGCTGTCAGGGCTCAACGCTTGCTGCATCCACGACGCAGTGGGCACAACATCGAGGGTTTAGGGTTTAGGGTTTAGGGTTTGCGCCTTAGGGTTTAGGGTTTAGGGTTTAGGGTTTGCTAAATGCGGCTGCACTGTCTGGTTCTCCTTTGTAAAGACACCTCAATTGCTGTGTGCTTCTGGGGCTCCCTGCGGGCACTAGAAGCCTCCAGCAGCAGCAACAAGAGCAGCAGCAGCAGCAGCAGCAACAGCAGCAGCAGCAACAGCAACAGCAGCAGCAGGAGGAAACCCCTGCATTGTGGTTGCGACGTTTTGTAGGGACGCACCCAAGTACCCAGCGGGTCAATGACGGCCATTGCTGTGGGGCCTGGTGAGGCAGCAGCAGCAGCAGCAGCAGCAGCAGCAACAGCAGCAGCAGCAGGAATAGCGGCAGCAACAGTAATAGCGGCAGCAGCAGCAGCAAAAATAGCGGCAGCAGCAGCAGCAGCAGGAACAGCAGCAGCAGCAGGAATAGCGGCAGCAACAGTAATAGCGGCAGCAGCAGCAGCAAAAATAGCGGCAGCAGCAGCAGCGGCAGCGGGAACAGCAGCAGCAGCAGGAATAGCGGCAGCAACAGTAATAGCGGCAGCAACAGCAGCAAGAATAGCGGCAGCAGCAGCAGTAGTTAGCACCGGTAGTTCTATCCTGTAAGCAATTACTTTTAGCTCATCAGTCCCTCTGCTGCTGCTGCTGCTGCTGCTGCTGCTGCTGCTGCTGCTGCTGCTGCTCGCAGCTCCAGTCGGCCGCATCGACAAGATAACGGGCCACTTGAAGCTTCTCTAGCCCTCCCAAGGGCTCACTAGGGGCCCCCAAGGGGGCCCCTCAGGGCTCTTTGGGGGCCCCGAGGGGCCCCCCTTGGGGGCCCCTAGGGGCCCCCTTGGGGGCCCCGAGGGGGCCCCCTTGGGGGCCCCTAAGGGGCCCCGTAGGGGCCCCCAAGGGGGCCCCTCAGGAGCCTCATAACTGCACTTGCAGGGGCCTCCAAGGGGGACCCTAATTTGGGGGCCCCCGAGGGGCCTCCTCGGGGGGCCCCCTCGGGGGCCCCTAGGGGGGCCCCCGGGGGCCCCCTAGGGGGCCCCCAGGGCCCTCGAGAGGGGCCCCAGAGGGCCCCTAGGAAAGCAGTTTGCCTGCGGGCAGCTAGGGAGGCCCCGCGAGGCCCTCTGGCTGCTGCTGCAGCAGCAGCTGCTGCTGCTGCTGCTGCTGCTTGTGCCTATGGGTCTCTTTAGTTGTCTTTGCTGCGGTGTTTCTGTGCTGCTTTTTAGCGCAGCTGCAGCAGCAGCAGCAGCTGTTGCTGCAGCAGCAACAGCAGTTGCTGCGGTGGTTGCTGCAGCTGCTGCTGCAGCTGCAGCAAAACTGAATCGTCTTGCTTTTTTATTTTGTTTCTTTTTGAATTTCTTTTATCTCCTTTCTTTATCTTAGTTGACTCTCTGTCACCACCGCAGCAAACTTTATCATCTCTTTTAGGGTTTAGGGTTTAGGGTTTAGGGATTGCGGTTTAGGAACGTCTTTCTGAAGCCACGCCGCTTCTGCTTGCTTCTTTCCCCCCGCTGCTGCTACTGCTGCTACTGCTGCTGCTACTGCTGCTGCTACTGCTGCTGCTGCTGCTGCTGCTGCTGCTGCTGCTGCTGCTGGGATCGGGCGATCCCGGGGTGTGGGGCCCATCCCAGGCTGCACAGAAGTTACTGACTGGCAGTGGAAGTTTGGGGTTTGGGGGAATTAAAAGATGTTTTAATTTTTCCGTGTTGCATCATTATTACTCATCTTTAATAAATAAAAATAAAAGTGAAAATCAATTATAAATAAAGAATAATTATAAATAAATTTAAAAAAAGTTTATTTATTTTAAAACACAAATAAACTTCTGAATGGCAACTGGCAAGTTATGGAGTTCTTTTTAAAAAAATAAATTTAAAAAAATATTTTAATTTCCGTTTTTGATTTTTATTTTGTTGCAAACTGCTGCATTTTTAAAACAAATTTCATTTCAATTATTTTATTTATTTTTTTATTCTTTTGAATTTCTATTTTTAAATAAATTCGTTTTGTTGCTTCTGCAAATGCGAAACGAACATAAACAAATCTATTTTGAATAAATAAACATATTTTAAATATATTTTAAATAATAAACATATTTTAAATATATTTTAAATAAATAAATTTATTTTAAATATATTTTAAATAAATATTTCTTTTTAAACACCATATTTGCCTCAGTTTTTATTTGGAATATTTGCAAAACTTATATTTTCTCTATCTAATTTCTGAAACTAAATCCAGTTCTTGAAACAGAAAAAGAAAAGAGCGGTTGCCGCTGCTGCTGCTGCTGCGGAGCAGCAGCAGCAGCAGCAACAGCCGCAGCAGAAGCAGCCGTAGCCGCAGTATCCCCAGCAGCCGCAGTAGTCGCAGTGGCCGCAGCAACTGCAGCACCTGCAGCAGCAGCAGCTGGAGCAGCAGCAGCAGCAGCTGGAGCAGCAGCAGCAACTGCAGCAGCATCAGCTGGAGCAGCAGCAGCTGCAGCAGCAGCAGCAGCCACTGCTGCGTATGAATAGCAGTTTAAATTGTTTTTGCTGCTTCAGAGGCCCCAGAGAAATACAGCCTCCTTAGCTGCCAGGAGCCCCCTTGCTGCAGCAAAGATGGCAGCAGCAGTAGCAGCAGCAGCAGCAGCAGCAGCAGCAGCAGCAAATTGCTGCTGCTGCCTCATGCGCCATCGGCTGTTGTGAGCGCCCTTAGGTAAGAGGCCCTCAGCTCGACAGTGGGCAGCTGCTTCCACTGAAGGCAGCAGCAGCAGCAGCAAAAGCAACAGCAGCAGCAGCAGCAGCAAAGGCAGCAGCAGCAGCAGGCAAGGTCATCAATGTGTCTGTGGTCGCGCAGCTGCCAGTGCCTGTAAGTTCCTTTCAGTTTGCTGCTGTTGTTGCTGCTGCTGCTGCTGCTGCTGCTGCTGCTAACAGCCTCCTTATTACCTGCTTTAAAGAGATGGGAACTGTAGCCCAACCGGTTTGCTGCAGCAGCCGCAGCAGCAGCCTGCTGCGCCCGCGGCACTGCAGCAGCTGCTGCTGCAAGGAGCCGCTCTGAGCTGCTGCTGCTGCTGCTGCTTCTGCTGCTGCTCCTGCTGCTGCCTCCTCCTCAGGCACACACAAAAAGGCCAGCCCAGCCACAGGGGGCGTCGTTTGATTCTCCACTGCAGCAGCAGCAGCAACAGCAGCAGCAGCAACAGCAGCAGCAGCAACAGCAGCAGCTGCATCTACTTTCTGGTGCGCATACACCGACCACCCTGTGCGTGGCACCGGTAGCTACTGCTGCTGCTGCTGCTACTGCTGCTGCTGTTGCTGCTGCTGCTGCTACTGCTGCTGCTGCTGCTGCTGACCTGGCTTTGCTGCAGCAGCAAAATGGCAGAAGCCGCAGCTCGTTATTAAGGGCTGCAGCGCCGGCAAATCAGCAGCACGAAGGGCCTCTTGTATCTGCGGGCAAAGACTGGAGGAAACGAACTGCAGCAGCAGCAGCCGCTGCTGCTGCAGCCTGCAGCAGACGCACAAGCAGTGCGCAGCAAAGTCCTCTGCAGCAGCAGCAAACAGCAGCAGCAGCAGCACCGACAGCAGTACAAGCAGCAATACCAGGCGGCAGCGCCAAACAGCAGCAACAAAGAACAGCAGCAAACGGCATCAACAAACAGCAGCAACAAACAGCAGCAACAAGCAGCAGCAACAAACGGCAGCAACAAACAGCAGCAGCAAACAGCAGCAGCAAACAGCAGCAGCAATGCATGCAGCCCCACCAGCAGGCTTTGGGGCTGTCGCTTTCACAGAAAGCCACAAGGGCCCCCAAGGGGGGCCCCCAAGAGGGTACAGGGGCCCCCCGGGCCCTGGGGGGCCCCCCTGGGGCCTGGGGGCCCCCCAGCAGCTGCAGCGCCAAAAATGCCTCATAGAGTTCAGCAAAAGAATTGGCAGCAACAGGTGGGGGGGCCCCCCTAACCCTTGCTGCCAGGGTACCTGAGAACAGCAAAGAGCAGCAAACCCTGCTGCTGCTGCTGCTGCTGCCGGTGCTGCTGCTGCTGCTACTGCTGCTACTGCTGCAGCAGCAGCTGCTGCTGCTGCTGCAGGTGCTGCTCCTGCTGCTACTGCTGCAGGTGCTGCTGCTGCTGCTGCTGCAGGTGCTGCTGCTGCGGCTGCAGGTGCTGCTGCTGCTGCGTCTGGGGCAGGCTTAGGTGGTGTGTAAACCCTAAACCCTAGCTTTAAGACCCTAAACCCTCAAAGTGCCTTACTGTCTCTTATGTGCTGCACGCAGCGCCAGAAGCAAGAGCTGACGCTGCAGCACACAGCAGCAGCAGCAGCAGCAGCAGCAGCAGCAGCAGAGAACAGCAGCAGCACAGATTTGAAGAGACACAAAAGAGGAAGAAAGAAAGACACACAAAATGCGAAACACGGCAAGCTAGGGTTTAGGGTTTAGGGTTTAGCGCTTAGGGTTTAGGACATAACGTTTAGGGTTTAGGGTTTAGGGTTTAGAGTTGCAGTTATAAGGGGCCCTGCCACTGCGAAGCACAAATCTCAACATGTTAGCGAATTAGGGTTTGGAGCTTAGAAATTAGGGTTTAGGGTTTAGGGTTTAGGGTTCACGTCTCAGAAAAGTATTCTTCCGTGAGAAGACAGTGCAGCAAAGAAACCTCTGTCTCGTCATCGAGGATTCTCTCAAGGGTTTGCTGCTGCTGCTGCTGCTGCTGCTGCTGCTGCTGCTGCTGCTGCTGGAAAGCTTCCTCAGAGGCCCCGGGGGGCCCCCCGAGGCCCTCATACTTTTGCTGCTGCCACTGCTGCAGCAAGCTGCAGCAAAGGGCACTCAGCTGTGGGGAAGCCACCCCCAGTCCGCTGCAGCAGCGCAGCGCAGCAGCAAGTGCAGCAGCAGCAGCAGCAGGGAGACAGGAAGAGGCAGCAAGGCTGCTGCTGAGCCTGCGAACACTCAAACCGCAGAAGCAAACCAGGGTTTAGGGTTTAGGGTTTAGGGTTTAGGGTTTGGGTCCCCATGGTGGGGAAAGCGAGCCAAAAAATGCCTCACGCACCAATAGCAGCAGCAGCAGCAGCATGAGCAAGACAACACCTGCAGCAACAGCAGCAGCAGCAGCAGCAGCAACAGCAGCAGCAGCAGCAGCAGCAGCAGCAGCACTGACCAGGAAATGAGTCTCTGGAGAGGGGCCTGGTGGCCACTTTGGGGGCGGCATTCGAGCAAAGCAGCAAAAAGACTCTTCGCGTCCTGCAGCAACACAAACAAACTGCTGCTGCTGCTGCTGCTGCTGCTGCTGCTGTTGCTGCTGCTGCTGTCGTCACTGCTGCTGCTACCGTGGGCAAAGGCACACAGCAGCTAAGACAGCAACAAGCGGGGGCCCCCAGGGGCCCCCCAGGGTACAAGTAGGGGGCCCCCAAGAAGCACAGGGGGCCCCCCTTATACAGGGGCCCCCCGGAAGCAAAAGGGCCCCCAAAAAGAGACCCAGAGGGGCCCCCAAGACACAGAAAGGGCCCCCAGGGGGCCGCTTTTTAGCCCACAGGGGGGCCCCCAGGGCACAGAAAAGGGGGCCCCTAAATAACCCCTAGGGGGGCCCCCTGGGGCCCCACAAGGAATCTCTTTAAAGCCCTCGCTGAACCCCCTGGGGCCCCCTAGGGGCCCCCAAAGGCTCCCTAGGGCCCCCTGGGGGCCCCCAAAGGCCCCCGGGGGCCCCCAAAGACTCCCGGGGGCCCCTAAAGACCTCGTGGGGGCCCCAAAAGGCCCAAAAGACCCTAAAAGACCCCTTGGGGGCCTCAAAAGGGCCCCCGGGGCCCCCCAAAGCCCCCCCGGGGCCCCCAAATACCTCTGGGGGCCCTTTAGGGTTTAGTTTGTTAAAGGGGCCCCCAACTGACCTTAAAAGAAAAAGAACTGAGAGGAGAAAGTTGCAAAGCAGTTAGCAGGGGCTGTACGTACACCTCAGGGTCCAGATCGAGGGCCTTCACCAGCCGCAGCAGAGGGCTTATGTGCCTGCAGCAGCAGCAGCAGCAGCAGCAGCAGCAGCAGCAGCAGCAGCAGCAGCGGGAGGCATGGAGCCAGATGCTGCAGGAAGCCTGATGACTGGAGATAAAATGACAAAAGACCAAAATATGAAAAGGGCCCGAAGGAGGAGACACAAAAGGAGACAAATGAGCTGCAGCAGCTGCTGCTGCTGCCGCTGCTACAGCTGCTGCTGCTGCTGCTGCTGCTGCTGCTGCTGCTGTGGACGTACTGGGGCCCCTCCCTGGCCACCGCCGGCGCTTCTAGTGCAGCACGAGCAACAGCAGCAGGCAGCAGCGCGAGTCTTGAGTAGGGTTTTGTTTCCTTTGCTGCTGCTGCTATTTCTTTGAGGTCCGGCATAGCAGCAAGAGGCGACAGCAGCAGCAGCAAGTCTCGCGGCTGCAGCTGCAGCCGCCACAGGGCCGGCAGCAGCACCCGCAGCGGCACAGACAGCGCAGCAGCAGCAGCAGCAGCAGCAGCAGACGCAGCCGAAGTCCCGTCAGCAGCAGGAAACACAGCAGCAGCCCAGGGGAGGCTTGGCTCCGCGGGGCGCAGCAGCTCGCTGCTGCCGCTGCTGCTGCTGCCGCTGCTGCTGCTGCTGCTGCTGCTGCCAAACAGCGCCAGCAGCTTCGGCACATGACGCAGCCGCAGCTCACAGGGGCCCCCCTTTCCCTTGTGGGCCCTTTGGGGGCCCCCCTTGGCGCCCAGGGCCTCGGGCTGGCAGCTAGCAGCTAGCCTCATCACGTGCTGCAGCAGCAGCAGCAGCAGCAGCAGCAGCAGCACAGACGCAAGCCCAAACGTAGCAAAGAAATCCCCTTGAAGAAATGCCCTTGAAACGATACCCGCAGCAGCAAAAATGCCGATACAAATAAGCATGGCAGCAACAGCAGCAGCAACAGTAGCAGCGATAACAACAGTACGGACAGCAGCAGCAGCAGCAAAGCAGAAATAGCAGCAAATGTAGCAGCAGCAGCAGCAGCAGCTTCCGGAGCAATCTCGGCAGCTCTCAAACGTTTCCCAGGGTCCCCCCAAAGGCTGAAAGACCCACAGATGGCTAGCAGTAGCTAGCCAGCAGCTAGCTAGCTACCCAGCTAGCTACCCAGCTAGCTAGCTAGCTAGCTAGCCAGCTAGCTAGCTAGCTAGCCAACAGCTAGTTGCTTACGTGCTGCAGCTGGTAGGCGCCGAGCAACGAGGACCCCCAGCTCTGCTGCAGCGCTGAGCAGACCTGCAGCAGCTGCTCCAGGTCTGCATGCAAAACAGCAGCAGCAGCACCAGCAGCAGCAGCAGATAAAAAGCTCACTAGCCAATCTACAGCCAGCTAGCTAGCTAGCTAGCTAGCTAGCTAGCTAGCTAGCTAGCTGAGAGTCTTCGGCTCACCTTTGCAGGTCTCACAGAGTCGTCGCAGTTGCATCTCGAAGCCTCGCACTAGTGCAGGGGGAGGCGCCGGGGGCTGCAGCAGCAGCAGCAGCAGCAGCAGCAGCAGCAGCAGCAGCAGCAGCAGCAGCAGCAGAGGCAGCAACAGCATGGAGACACGATTATCTGCAGAAGCTAAGCGGGACAACGAATTGCGAGGGCTCTTAAGGGGGGCTTTTGCTGCTCACCGTCGGCAGCAGCAGCAGCGCAGCAACAGCAGCAGCAGGCAGCGGCGCCTGCAGCCGTTCTGCTGCTTCCCGCAGCAGCAGCAGCTCCAGGGCCTCGTTGCGGTAGCCAACTGCATGCACCCCACACCCGCCGCATCAAATTCACACGTGTTGCCTCTCTTGCTGCTGCTGCTGCTGCTGCTGTTGCTGCTGCTGCTGCTGCAGCGTGGGTTGGGGTGTACGTACAGCTCACTGTAACCCTTGCCAGGTCTGCAAAGGCAGCAGCAGAAAGTGTCTTGAGGGCCATTCTCCCCGCCAGCAGCTGCTCAGGGTTTGCTTCTTGTGGGGTCTGCTGCTGTTGCTGCTGCTGCTGCTGCAGGGGGCCCTCAGGGGGGCCCCCCAGGGGGCCCCCGCCGGCTCCGGGGGCCCCCTCGCCCCAGCCAGGGGCCCCACAGGGTACTGGGGGCCCCCCCACAGAGGACTGCGTGGGGGCCCCAAAGTACTTCTCCAAAAGTTGACGGCCAAATGCCCGCAGCACTGCTGAAGTCCCTCGGCTGGGGCCCCCAGGGGCCCCCAGGGGCCCCCCGGGGGCCCCCAGGGGCCCCCCGGGGGCCCCCAGGGGGCCTCCGGGGGCCCCCTGAGGGCCCCAGCTCGGTAGGCTTAGGCAGGCGGGGGCCCCCAGGATCTGGAAGGCGGGAAGATGGAAGCTGCTGCTTCCTGCTGCTCCTGCTGCTGCTGCTGTGGCTCCTGCTGCTGCTCCTGCTGCTGCTGCTGCTGTAGAACCCTCGGAGGGGAAAAGCGGCTTGCTAAGATCTTCTGTGGGCCCCTCGAGCAGCTGCAAGTCTCGAAAGAGCTCCGTGAAGGGTACCAGCTGCAGCAGCAGCAGCAGCAACAGCAACAGCAGCAGCAGCAGCAGCAATGTGATTCTAGAGCCCCCCGCTGCTGCTGCTGCTGCTTCCTCAGCAGCAGTCCCACACGGTAGACAAATACACAAAACATGCGAAGCAGTACTTGCGGTGTATGTACAGCTGGAACAAGCAGCTAGACTTTCACGCACAAGGATAAAGCAGCAGCAGCAGCAGCAGCAGCAGCAACAGCAGCAGCAACAGCAGCAACAGCAGCAACAGCAGCAGCAACAGGAGCAAAGGAGCTGCTAAAGGGGTAGCATTTATTTTAATTTCTTTTTTTTTGTCCCAAGGATGCACGCGAGGTGTACGTACAGCTGAGCAAAGAGCTGCAACGTGCTGCACCTCAAACAAAGGCAGCCGCAGCAGCAGCAGCAGCAGCAACTCCCGCATCAGGGGAGAGCTGAGACCCAAAGCGTCGCGATCTGCAGCAG